TTAGCATAATCTCAAAGATAAAAATTCTCTGCTCCACTTTGGAGAGCATGAAATAATTTCTGTTTACACAGTTTTTTCAATTACTTTGATGCTGTGATATAAAGGTCACTGATTGCCTCTAGTCATCACATGGCTTTTTCACTAATTGTGCACTCACGTCATTTTGTTCTGTGGGATCTTTGGCTTCTTGATCCAGTTTCATTGCCCAGATGTTCATTTTGTACAGTTATAACTTTATACAAAGGGCATCCTCTGGTCCAACAAACACATTGTGGTCRTTGTTCCCAGCTGGGAACCTCGTGCACAGCAGCTCACCTGCTTCCACCATCAACCCACCGACCTTTGGGCTGGTTTAATGTAAAATCAGTCACTGGGGATAAGGAGGAGAAGTAATGCAAAAATATTTCCTGGTCCCTAGCCTTGGACTGATTAAGGTTGTGCTGCAGGATAAAAAGGCAATAAGAAAAGAGAAAGCTCTTTTATCTTGACCCTTTTGGTGTATAGTGGGATGGAAAATCACATCAGCACCTTGAAAGTTTTGCTCTGGTGTCTTGTGATGTGTAAATGGAGACCTAAACATCTCCAAGAAGTCATTCTATTGCCCATTCCCTTCTCTATTGCCCACTCCCAATAAAAGCCACCCAAAAAGGTTTCATGTCAGAGCAGAAAAGTCCCTGCTTGTCCCCATGGGGTGAYTCTCAGGTAACCAGAGGCCCCCAGGAGCTGAGGATTTCCCAGCTCACAGATTTCCTCAGGGTTGGGTCTCAAGGTTATCCCATAGCCCATCTGCTGTTTGTGGAGCCACGTGGACATYACCCAGACCAGCTGTTTGGTTTAACTTAACCTTTGGAGCAGTCATGAGAGCTTAGTTCATGAGCAGAATAAATTACACGGAAGGCTTCAAGGGAGGATTGTCCATCTGAATGCTCTGGCTGCTGCTGAAAGGTCTGTGGAAGATGAGCAGTGGAAAATTGGACAGCGATTGAGCAGTCTATCATGTAAGCAGGGTATAACTTGGCAATATATTATCTGTGAAGGTTTTTAAATCTCTGCCTTGGCCAAAAGTGACCTTCTAAACGACAAGAATCTGGTCATCTTGAGCCCAAATGTTCCTAGAAAGACGATCCTACAGAAGTGTGCTGGCTGCTGGCAGGGCCAGCAGTGCTGGCAAAGTGCACTGTGCTCTAATGGCCAGGCTGAGGTGGGAGAGGAGCTCCAGCCCAGGGCAGGCACAGGAGGAGACCTGGAGAGGAGCTGGCAGTGATTTTTGACAGCTCTCATTGTCAGCTGTAAGGCTGCTGTAAGGGCAAAACCTGCACAAGGTGGTGGGATGGTGGCTTTATGTGCTGATGTGATTGTTGTGGGCTCTGGTAGCTCTCCACAAGCACCAGAATACCCAGGACATCCACTGCATCCTTCCAGTGCAAACCTTGGGATGGGGAGCTGCAGATGGCGGTGTCTGCTCTGCTCAGGGAGGAAAGCAAAGGAGTGAGATGGAGAAAATGGAAAAAAACAGAGGTTCTGTCTGGTTCTTGCTGCCATCAGTGGTTGGGTAAATAGGAAGGTGCAGAGTTTTGTTTTCTGAACATGATGTTTCCCATGACTGCTCCTGCTGAAATCAGTGAGCACAGACAGAGCCTTCTCCACACTGCAGCAACTGCAGCACCACAATTCTCCATTTCCCTCTCTTGAGGCTGTCGATCCCCTGGCACAGCTGTAAATTCCCTGTACAGTGCACAGCATGGCTTTCACTGAAAACTGCTGGGAAAACAGCTCTTCTGGAGCTTCATTTCATCAAAACTAATTTTTTTTTTGCTTTTCCTATGCATTTCCCTTTTTTTCCCTGCATCCAAGCAGCCACCTGCACTCAGTATCAGACACGTGGAATCCCATAAACAYCCCTTCCAGACCATAATAGTTTGATGGAAATATGGCCAAGTGCCCAAACCCTTGTGCCCTTCCCACAGCCCCCTCCAGCAGCATGACCTGGGAGGCCTCCCATGCAGGATTTTATGTCTTGATCTGTGGCAGTGACTGACAGCAGCAACAAGGAGCTCTCTGGGGCAGAGGACAGGGAGGGAGGGTGGGGAACGGTGTCTCCTGGGACGAGCTCCAGTCTGCTCCAGGGAATGTGCTAATTTTCACTCCTTTATAGTCCTTTATCTCAGCCCTTCGACCTTGAGCTCAGAGGCATTATCAGCCTCAGCCAGAAAGGCAGCGTGGTGGAATTAACTATTSAAATGCTGAGTGTTTCTCATCCAAAGTCCTGAAGGTAAAAGCACAATGAATGCAGTTTATTTCAATAGTGCAGCACGACAGGGGACTGCTCAGGTTTGGTGAGAACCTATTTATGATATTGGGAAATTTTTTTTTTTCGTGTGTGATTCTGTGAGCACTTTTCAAAGTTTGCTGACCCTTCAGAGTTTTCTGGGCATGTAGAGGCCTCCTGTAAGCCTGTGCTGTGTGCATGGCTGCACACTGTGTCTGAACTTGGTTTTCTTTATCACCTTTTCATCCTTATTATACCCAGTTATTAATATCCAGAACACGGGCAGAAAATTACTGATCTCGTGCTTTCTCTGGGTCCCTGTCATCATGGGAACACATCTTCAGCTTCATAAAGTATTATATAAACTCTTATCATAAAAGAAAAATCACTTCCTGGAGCAGTCTAGATGAATGTATTTATTGGCAGTTCTGCTGGTGATTTCTCTGGGTGACTCCGGCTTTGTCGTTTAAATGTGTGTAAGGTTTTGTATTTGCAGAATGAGCTGGGAATATTTCCCTTGGGCCACCGTGGCTATTAATGAGTTAGGAATGTGCTTCTGTTCATGGTCTTGTTTGGCAAGATCAGCTTCTCTTCTGTACCTGACAAATATGATGCAAGAAGAATATTTCATTTTCCTTACTGAGAGTGAGTGGTCTCTCTCCCAGCACTAATTGGGTAGAAGCAGAATTTTTGGTAGAATATTCCTGCTTAATCAGTTCAGTGTTGATGGAGTTAATTTGCTCATGCCTTCAGATTGTTTTGTTTCCAGGGATTCTAAACCGTTGCCTCCAGCTGTTCATTTCCATTGACGAGGATGATCTTTATCTGTCTAAACTAGTTAAAACCTGCTCCACTACCCAGCAGCCTTTTTGGAGACAGCCCAATAAAGCTGAGTGCGGTGGCTATGACACCAAAGCCTCCTGGACATCATAAATTCCAAGCCCTACTTTTTTTTTTTCCTGACCTCTCACTGTTGGAGCACCCTTCCTGTTTTAATGGGACTCTTCACTTCCTCCATTTAACCCCTGTCCAAAAAGGGGACTGATATTTGCACTGTAAGTGATCAGTGTAAGAATCCCTGTGAGGCTAATTTACTGCTTTAATTTTACCAGATTAAGCCTTGTCAGACCTSGAAGGTATCCTTCAAACAAATTAAGCACTGTTAGACTTGCACTTGAACTCTTCTCAGCGTGTGTTACTTGGGATGCTTTAGGTGAACCGTGTTTTTAAATGTGCTCAGTTTAAGGTTTGTTGTGACATGCTGGGACTCCTCATACCTTCAGGGTCACCAGGGCCACTTCCTCCTGAGACAGRAGATGTGAAGTTTGTGTGTGAGCAGATGAGATGCAGGTTTGCTAAGCTGATGAGACAGCTGCCAGATGTAGCAGAGCATCTTTCCAATGGTGAAGTTCAGGTGGCTCATGTGCATCAGGCAGAGATGCTGTCTGTACCAGAGGGAATTGCCAGCAACACAAAACTTTTTGTTGCTGTAGTGCTGCCCCAAGGACCAGAGCTCCAGTGTGTACCCTGGGGTAGGAACTCCTTCCCTTGTGCTGGGCTTCTAATTCACATTATTTGGGCCTGAGCTGAACAGGAACCCACAACACAGCAGGGAAAAGCTAATGGTCAGTTTGAACATCAGGCTCTTCCTTCCACTCCAACTACTGTTAACAGCAGTGGGACAATTTGTGGCCAGAAGACCCCTTTATGAAGGGCTGAGCTTTATTTTGGAATGTGCCAAGGAGACGTTTTCCTGTTGTTTCATTGCAAATGTTAACCGTCCCTACAGTCTGGGGAGTGAGCAAGCCCTGAGCAGTGTTGGGCTGTAGCTCCTGCTCTCTGCTGCAAACAGCTGGATCAGTTCACTTCCAGGCCCYTGTGTCTGTGGGAGAATGCTGTGTAGTCATTTTGCTGCTGAACCACCTCACAGCAATTATCAGACTTCCAGAGGAGGGAAAAGGTCTGAGAAAAAGTCCCGTTTAACATGTCATTATTGGGCTTTAGCAGCTGTGTGTTATCCTATTGTTACTAATAACCTTTGCAACTTTGTGAGCAATGTTTTCTTGGCATCATTCAAACATAATGACTGGGGGGTCACATTCAGCTCTCAGTTGTGTAAATATGGAATGTTCTCTTGGCTGTCTGGTGCTATTTTGCATTTGGCTYCTGATCCCTGCCCCTAGAATCCTGCAATCCAAAATACCCAGGCAGGGAGTTCGGTCACAGTATGCTCTGCATGCCAGCTGGGTATGCAAAGCACAAAATAAACACATGAACAACTACTATCAAATCCAAGCCATATAATTACAACTCTACTGTCCTCTGGTTGTGGTTAATGGATTATTCCTGAACAAATGAGAGCAGGATTTTTCTTGGTACTTTCCTGAMGATTAGGAAGYCTTTCAGAAAAATGTGTTTTTAAAGGGGTTTTGAATTTGATTGGGATGAATTGGRAARAAAAYSAATTTACAAAATAGATGTTGATTGAAKTGAAGCARTCACAAAGTCTGCCTTAATGGTGAGAGGAAAGAGAGACCTTGGCAAATCCATGAGGAAGGTGTTTGAACTGCTGTTTCCAGGCTTGTAAGTCTTTTAAGTAAGGTTCATTGGACTTATATGGTAAATAAATTTATCTTGATTTMATTCTGTGATTATGAGGATCTCTCTTTTCCAGCATGGTCTTTACRAAGTTCTCAGCAGTGGAGTGACTGATTGCCCTTTTCATTTTCAGGGATCTTCCAGATGATCCTGCTGTGGAATGGGACACACAGCTCCTCGCTACCCTTGTCCTAAAGCACATAGAAGCCAAGAACATCAACCTGGTAATGTGACACTTTGTACAGCACAGGCAATTGCCACATTACTTCTGAGTGAGTGTTCTGGGCTTTCCCTTTCCCTGTGGAAGCTTTCTTGAAGTCTCTAAGGTTAGGATGCATCTTCTCCCTGGGGAGCTTTGCTTCTCAGTGAGAAATAAACAGTGGAGGAATTTTGCTCTTCTAACTCTTCAAATKATTTCTGTACTTTTAAGTAACCATATTGTGATGGAGAGAGCCCATCTGGGGTTTAGACTTAGGTTTAGGCTTAGATTTGAAGCCCATTGGTGTTAGAGAGTTCGATTAGCAGGGTTATAGGTCAGGATTGCAGAATATTAAACTGGGGAGATTTCCTGGCACGGGTATAGTTTGGGGTTTTTTTCCCACAGAACAGGAATAAGAACCTAAGCATGGAAAAGGYTGTGTTCTGTTCTCTGTTGAACCCKGCTTTGATCAGTCATGGCACTGTCACACACTGATTAGCAGCAAARTCACAAAACTCTCAAAGCCTTTCAGCACTTCACAAAACAAGAAACCGCATCTCCTGTAGCATGAAAGCCCCACGAGCACAAAACCAGCATCATGCACCCAACTTTGTATTGGTTCTGAGGCTAATTTTCCATGAAATTCGTTGCTGTGCACAGAGACAAATGCAGTTTTCCTGGACTCCTTTTGTGCCTTTTGGCCCTGTGAATAGATAGGTTTTAATTTAATCTGAAAGCTTCAAACACAGGAGGATTTGTATTGCATGTTTGTGGCTCTCAGGGGTGCTGGGACAAGTGCACCAAAATCCCAGAAGAAATTCTGAAAACACCAGAACTCCTCTGGATGGTTAGGAAGGATTAGATCTTTGCCTCAGGGAAAATTAAACTCCAGCTGTTTGTGCAGGGGGGGAGGYTGGAGTCAGCCACTAACAGAGCTGAGCTGAGCAGGGAGATGTGGGGTTTGCAGAGCAGGAAACATTCCCTGGCATGGTGCGAGGATGGGAGCTCCCTGCACTCCCATCAGCTCTTCCCTGAGCAGCACCGAGGGCAAATCACTGCTTCTCAGGGCTGCTGGTAATGAACTGCTCTGGAAATGTTCATTATTTGAAGTGTCCCAAGCAGTCATGCAGGTCCCCAGTATTTGCTGTAATACCATTCATTGCCAGCAACAGCAAGAGAAGCACCTAATTGCCTTTGTTAAACATGCTGCAATTTAAAACTTAAGAGCTTGCTGTTACATCTCTGCTGTCCTAAACCAACAGCCTTGCTTTGAAAGGTAAACTGAGTCCATTTTTCACTAAGGTTGAAATTGATAGATTGGCTGTAGAATTGGCTGAACATGTTAAAACAGCCTTGAAAAAAACAAAAACTAAAASGGTTTCAGACCAACTCAGAGAAGTCAACATGACTGGAAGATGTGTGTTGTTTTAGCTGTCCCAGTGGGAAAACTTTSCCCAGTTCTCCCAGCAGTCACAGTATGGACAATGGTATCTTTATTTCCAGAACATGTTGTGTGTCATCTGGCAGTGGAGCAGGGGCTGGAATTCCAGYATGTCTGAAAGGAAGGATTGCAAGGCAGTGAATCCCACCATGTTCTGCAATGTTTCCTTCCATTGCATGGTTACGCATTTGCTTTATTGCCCTGAAAGTCCAGGAGTAGCTCAATCTTTTTGGGAGCTACAGGGACATATTTCATCCAAGCTCTACATTAAATAGTGCAGACACAGAAACTAATGGCTGGTGTACTCAAAGCCAAAACTAATTTATAGACTTTGGAAATTATTTCCTGCCTGCTGGATTTACAAGCAAAAGGCAGTGTTGGAGGGAGCGGCAGCCAAGGCTACTTTGTCTTGATCCAGATTAGAAAGTGTTTGGTGTGTAAAGAAAAGAAGTTACACAGTATTGTGTGAGCCCCAGGCAGGCTCTTGTTGCTCCTAAATCAGACACAAAAGACATCTCCAAACTCAGAAGAGACTCAAAGGGAGTTTGAATTGTGTAAGGAGTGATATTCTGGGAAGGCCATGAGAAATGGGGGTGTTGGTGTGGCATTTTAAGGGATGGCCTTTGTTAAAAAGCAGAGACCTTTGTGGCCCCACAGCAGATGTGTGCTGTGTTTGAAGCACTGCATGACACCAGAGAGAGGAGGGAGACCCTCAGCTTTGAGGGACCATGGACTCCAGACCTCTCAGGAGTTTTTTTTTTGCTGGTAATTGAGTAATTTCCTCTGTGCTCTCCCCTCTCCRGAAGGGATTTCTGGACCTGTTTGTCTTGGCTGCTGCTCTGGCTTCCACCAGTGAAAGCTCCATTTCCTGAATACCAAGGTCACCCAGAAGAAAAACCAGCAACAGCAGCAGCTCCCATTTCAGAACAGGTGTGGGGAGGGAACTCCCTCTTGYCCTAAAGATTTCATTGAGCAATAATTTCCACATGAAGTATATTTACTATCCCAGCCTTTTCGCTCCCAGAACTGGCTAAGCCTGTTTTTAACCCAGACACTTTCAAGATGTTCAGGTTTTCTCATCCTGTCTTTATTGTTTGTTTGATTTCATCATCAGCCTGGTTCAGGTTAGGAGTTAAAAGCCAGCACAGCAAGAGCTGCACTGTGTGGAAGGAGCAAATGCTCCCGTGTGAAAATACCTTCAGCATGTGAGAAAGAAATTCAAATTCCTTATCAATGAAATGAATCCCTGAAGCCAGAGGGATTGATTTACATGTAAAGCTGCCTGCTTTGARTCATGAACAGCACAGTGGTGCTGTGGAATCAGAGCCTGTTAGAGACATATGTAGATATTTAGTTGATATATGATATATTTAGGGTGGGACATCCCTGCTGCCCCAGAGAAGGATCAGTTAAAGGGAATGCCACCGTGGCCAAGTCACTGTGCAGATACCTTGGGAATTGTACTTGAAAATTCCTTTATTTGAAGAGATAGGCAATTCAGGTGTAAATGTCTTAACAGTAAATTGGACAGCAGCAATTGAAAATGAGCTCTGTGTAGTCTCTTCAGCTGGTTCAGATGTTACATAAGCTCAGCAGCTTCTATTTCAAAACAGATGTGGAGAAGAAAAACCTCCAAAGGTGTTTCTGAAGAGATAATTCCTATGTCAAGAACATTTCCTAACCCAGCCTTGTGCTCCCACAGTTGGCCCGAGCCAGTTTTGTGAAAACAATGATTAGTTTATTTAGTCTGCTCACTGTAGTCTCTTATCTCAGTCTTCTGATTTGTTCTCTTGTAACCTCCACAGAAGAAAAAAATGTGTGTTTTGGCTTGCCTGGGTTTTTTTGCTTGATTTCCTAAGGAAACAGGAATAATGCAATTGTATTTATATGTACGTGCACATGCATGTTTCAAAATACTTTAGAGCCCATTGGCTAATTCCAACCACATTTGACAGCAGAGTACTACTCTTAAAAATGTTCTGTTTGTACAGGTTTCMTGAAAATCAGGGACCAGGCAGAAAAGACAAACCTTCTCTCTCTCACCATTTATTTAAAAAGTTTAGTGCAAGTCCAGCCTGTATCAGACTCACACTGAATTTACCTGAATAGGAATTTATTCTGCCTGCAGTGAGTRGGGTATGTTGTGCCACTCTAGGTAGGAGTGACTTCAGAGCATGTTTTTTCTTATCTGCAAAGTACAGGGTGCTGTGTGCATTCCCCATGCTGAATTTTGTGTCTTTCCCAGATGAGTTCCTCCAAAAGCTGATATCCATAGGGAGGGCTCAGCACCCTGCAGAGCTCTCAGGTAGTGCTGATGTGCAGCAGCAGCAGCTCAGGTTGAAGACATCTATTCTCATCATACAATAGGGAACTCTTGACCAGAAAATGCTTCATTGTACCTGAATGAAACCAAATTTGSTCCCACCAGTTCCTGCCAGCAAAGAGCAACCTGGTGCTTGGTGGCAGGAGYTGGCCAAATGGAAAATCTGACTGTGGACTTCTCCTGGGTGGGTGGGTTTATAAGCAGCCTTGTCTGAARTTTGTGGGTTCTGAAGTATTTTTTATCTATTTTTTTCACTGCCTTTGTGTTTCTTCTCCCTCTTTACTCAGTATCCTGTGTCTGAGAGGGCTTCTCCTGATGGAGGGTGGAGGAGCAAGTTGCAGGACGGGCACGGTGGCTTTTGATCTTGCCTTGATCTCTAACCCAGTGCTCCAGGCACTGCATATAAAACAGATTTTGAGAAGGGAGGTGCAGTGAGTGAGCAGGACTGTAGCATTTCCTTCCCTGAAGAGAGAACAAGCTGGCAAGGAAGCAAACACTGCCTGAAACGTGGGAGTTGATGATTTCTTCCTGGTCCCAGGGAAGGGAGCTGTGGAGAGCTCTGCTGCTGGGCCTCTCCCAGAGCAAACACTGAGCTTTGCACTGTCCAGGGACTGTCACCTGCACCACCTGCAAGGAGGATGGGCACRCATTCCCTGTCCACTCTACACTCTGTGCTGMCAGTTTGRCTGATTGCTTAGAAGTGGGTGCCTTTAAATACCCAGAGCACAGCCCCACAGAGTGATTCTTCACCCCTGACACATTGTTGATGGCTCTGAGGGCAGGGAGCCAGGGCTGCTCTGTGCTCTGGTCAGTGCTCTGTTCACACATTACTTCTGCATTTTGGAGTTCCCATTTCTCCCTCCAAAGAATCAATTAACACCATGATCTCATTCAACAAAAAGCCTGATTTGGTTGTACAAAAGTGCAGTCAGCTGATTGTTTAAAAAAGGCTTATTCTCCTATCAGATTATTTTATCACTGTGTTATTCTCTGGTGAAGCCTCATTATAACCAGGACAGTTGTGCTTGCTTGTGTGGCTCTTGTTGCAGCAATGTCCTGATTCACAGCACAGCAAACTAAAGCTTCACCCTGTCATCCACAGGCACTGTAGGATGTCCTCAGATCCAGGAGAGAGTGATTCATAGAGCTGGACCTCTCGGGTCAGGAACACATTTGCAACAGATCACTTTGAAAGTGACCTTTTGCCCTGGTAATAAGTAACAAGTGCATCCTGCCAGTGGGGACACGATCTTTGTCATCTTTCTGTTGTTCAAGCTGTTAGACTGTGTAGTCATCTAGTTCCAGAGTGCCTTGTTTGTTTAGTTGTGTTTCTGTGGCATGAGGAGTTCACACACAAGGMCTCATTGTGCAACACATAAACAACTCGTTAGACACAGCGGGCCAGGGCAGTGCTGTGTTGGATGTCAAACTTGGGAACTGCACAAGCTCCTCCTCCTTGTCCTAAATGCTCCTTGTCCTGTGGTTTTCTTGCAGGTGGTGACGTTTGATGCGGGAGGAGTGAGTGGCCATGCCAACCACATCTCTCTTTATGCTGCTGTGAGGTAACAGTGTCTGCACACTTCTCTGGGTGCCTCTCTGGTCTGCTGCAGGGTGAATGTGGTGCTGGTGTGAAAGCAGAACCAAAGGCKGTGTGGACTGCACTGCTCCAACTGAGTGCCAGGCTGTGGGGCACCACACTGTCAGGAAATAACCTGCAGCATCTTTTCATCTTCCATCAGCTGGTACTTTGCCAGTCTCCCTTCCACTCTTTCAAAGAGCCCTCTTTGCTCTTGCTGTCCTTGATCCCACTAAAACATGCCACAGGTCACTTTGCACTTCTGCTTTGAGGAGAGKTTGTGAATAGCTGATGCCTGAGCTAGTGCCGGTTGGGTTTTGGAAAGTTCTGCACCACTGTTCCAGAGGATGTTGCCATTTTATCCAGKTGTCTGAATTTACCTCCCTGACCCAAGGACTTTGCTCTTTTACTGGAGCTGTTCCTCTTAGGAACAGTYTATTAGTTCCTTCACCATTTTATTCCTTACATCATGGGAACCTCTGTCTCCATGCTGTGATATGGTGAGATTGCTGGACAAAAATCCCTGTACTAAAACCCCTCAAATTTTGCTGGCAAGACACCCACTGTATTTCACTTTAACCCTCTGCTCATTCAGACCTCACTGTGTCCTAGAGAGATTTCCTCCAGAGCTGCCCCTGCCTTTCCCAGGCATGAGAAGAACTCTTTGCAAGTATAGCTTGTATTTATAGCACCCATTTGTTTTCTGAATCATCTGTGCAATTCAAATAAACAAATTCTTCTGGCTCTCCTTGCTGACAACATCACAGTGATTTGCCTTTCACACTTGCCCAGAGAAAGCTGCAGTGCCACAGACCCCATCCTGGGACCTTCAGCTCCTCTGGGAAGATGCTGAGAGCTTTGATGGCTGCAAWTCAGAGTTAGAAGGGAACACAGCTTTTCCCAGCAACTTCTGAAAGAGCCTGACAGAGGAGAGGGGTGGAGTTAAAGCAAACAGTGTGTTTGTTTGGGCTGAGTGGGGAGATGGTTTCAGACACAGTTGTTTGAGGAGTGAGCAGGGGCTGATGACCGAGGGACAGAGGTTGAGCAGAGGTTGATGACTGAGGAGCAGAGGTTGATGACCGATGCTCACACCATTGGCACGGACGGATGAGAGAGCTTCCAGCTGCCTGSACCTCTGTTTGCTCAGTCAATTGCTAAATGACCTACAAAGGCAGGTTGTTAGGTGTCCTCCTACATCCTGAAGAGATCATGGGAAAACAAGCTAGCAGCTGAGTTATGYATGAGAAATGTAAGGAAAACTGTTGATTTTGATCCCAGCGCTACTGCTGTCTTACTTTGTGCCTGTGCAGAAATCACTTYCCTGCCTTCATGCTTTAGGTTTCCTGTGTGTGCAGAGGGAATTTAACCCTCCTCTTGTCTCAGAGCATGTTAGCAGGAAATGCTCATTGTCTACAMTTCCCTGGAACTCAGAGCTTTGCATTGGTCCTCAGCTGGAGCAGARCATTGTCTGGGCTGATGAGATCCGTGCTGATAAGGACACCAGAGCACGAGCAATTCTCATTAACCAAGGGCTGGCTTGTGTCTTGTCTCCCTTCCAGTCCTGAATCAGCAGAATTAATCATGGTAGCCCCATCATCATCTGTATGTGGCAGGAGTGACGCTGTGGCTGCTGAAAGGTTAAGTTTATTTTTAGTGGCTCGCTTGCCCTCATTATTTTTCAGTTTGTGTTATGGAGGAAGTAGAGCGTGACTGTATCACTCCTGACTCTCAGTGCCCTGATGAGTTCTCACATGTTGGCCAGTACAGGCAGCACTGGGAGCATAAACTGAGGCTTCTCCTGTCCCCCTGTGCCAGCAGAGCTCTGCAGGGCAGCAGAGGCTGCCCCTGGGGCCCCAGAGCTGCATGGCAAGAGAAAGGCAAACAACCTCTCCCCTCCAGGTATCATCTGCAGTGTATTTATTAGCCACCTTCAAACAAGTCCTGCAGAGTTCTGCCTCCACTGTGAAAAGTGGGAGAAAAGATGAAGCAGAGGGCTGSTGCAGTGATCCTCAGCTCTTTTGGATGCTCCCAGTCTCTGGAAGACAGGCTTGTGYCCACTTCCCATGAGATTACTTTCTGCAAGAGCAGGGGTAGAACAGGCTGACCCCTCCCACAGCTCCTTGCCYCAGGAGGTGCAAATTATTGCACAGCTTCAAGGAATAAAACAGTTCAGGAAATGGTCATAGCTGAGCAGATGCTCAGTATTGTCTGCTAAGGGCATAAATATTCTTTCCAGTGTCTGGAACAGAGGTTATGTTCAAAGGAGCAGGAACTACTCAGAAGAAATGAGCTCTTTCCCTTGCAGCAACCTTCCTCCTGACAGCTTGCAGGAGTCCAGCTGCTGCTGTGTGCCTGCCTGGCCTTCAGATCTGGGAGGAACTGGGAAATGCCAAGGTTCAAGGGTGGATTTGTTCTTCTGCAAGGGAAAAATAAGAAAAAAAAAAAACAGGATGGGAGAGGAACACAAATTGCTATTTGATTTCAGTCTCCCCTGGGAGACTGTTCTGGCTTCCAGACGGAAAAAAAAACCCAACCCAAACCCAAGAAAAACCCACTGCAGCAAAGCAGTGAGAACTGGAAGCAATCTTCTGTAKCTTGATTTGGCAACATCATTCTGTCTTATCCCCCAAAACAGGAGCTGCCCCTGTGGCCAAGGGAGGTTGGATCCTTTATACAAATCCACAAGAGTGACATCCAGGTCACTTTATTCCCCCCTCAGCACTGGCCAGTCGCTAGGCACTGTGGTAATAAACTTGGTGAATACTGTGTACAGGAATATTGGAAAACCTCTCTTTCCTGCACTCTGAAATGACAGTGTCTGCACTGAGCTCACGTGTAATATCAAGGTGGTTTAATCTTGCATGAATCACTGTGCATTGTRATTTTAAACAACCCCTCTTGGCTAGGAACCTGGCAAATGGGGGGCTGTTGGGTTTGYTGTTTGCTTGCTTAGGATGGAGAGGAATCATTTTTGTGRGGAGGAGAAGGAAGGACTGTACCACTTGTTTTCTTCAGYGAGCTATCAAATCCATTTCATCCCAGCTAGAACAGAAAAGAATAGTCTTGTCTGCTTAGGGCAGAGCAAACTGAGTGGAAAATAGGAGCTGCTATATTTAACCACTGTGCATTATGTTGTTATAGCAACTGCATCCATAAAACTTGTATCAATGATGCCATATAAAAARCTACATCAAGGAATCATTAGCTGAGCCTATTCTCGTCAATTCCATTTGGGAAAAACACCTCTCAGTCCTGCAGGATGTTTTTGAACATTCACCAGCTCTGTGGCAGGTTGTAAATGAGGCTGTGCAGAGATAATATTTTGGAGCTTTATCACTCAGCAGTTGATTAGGATGCAGCCTGAGTGCCACCAATGCCTCGTTGCACTTCCACATCCCAGCCTGGCCATTGAATGCCCCATTCCYGAATGCCATGGACATTGTGCAGAAGGGCTGCACTGAGGCTCCCTGGAAGAGGAGGTTTGGTTAAATGCCAGCTGCAAATCCGTGTGTGGAAACAATGAGCAGAGCAGTGTCCAGCCAATGCCACTTGGTGGGTGCCATTCTCAGAGGCCACCAACTSCATCACACCCTACAAAGCACAGTTCTGTTTCTGTTGAGTTTCCAAGGCCASGCYTTAAAAGGACAGGGAGGAAGCTGGRGTTTGGGTGATTAGCTTGATGGTAGTGAATGATCGCCCATGGGGCTGCAGCCCATGCATTTCCCACTTGTTTTACTGATCTTAAATGTGCTGGGGGAGATTGTGAGTGATGGCTGTGGTTGCAGCCAGGCTGTCCCCATAAGGCTGAGACAGAATTGTCCTCTGCTGTCTGTTCTTGAGAATCCCCCTCCAAGCTCTCTGCCCTCCCRTGTATTCCATAGCTGGGTAGATTGTTCTACATTTTATCTCATTCCTTTATGCCATTCCTTCATTTCTTCATTTGCCAAGGTTCATTCATCCCAGTGCCCTTCCATGACACTGTTGACAGCCATTAGGATTAAAGCTGAGCATGAAGCACCAGCATAGAAAGGATTCCCCGTAAAAAAGGGTTTTATTTTCCCAAAGAAACAGCCTCAAGGKTGTCCTTCCCAGTGTCACGTCTGCTGCTAGCAGTGAGTGGCACAGTGACACTGCACATCCTTCTCCCAGGCAGTGCAGGGCCCAAAGCACAGAGCCAGCAACAGCTCTGTCAGCTGGAACATCCCTGAACTGCCACTGGCAGAGCCATCTTCTGCCACTGCCCCATGTGTGAGTACAGAGTGCCTGAGAGCAGTGTTGGACAAACTCCTGCTCCATGGTGTAGTTCAGGGTGCATGGAAATGGAGCCAGAAAGTCCAATTAGGGAGGGTGGAGGCAGTCCAGAGAGCAAACATCCAACATCTGGCAAATATATCCTTCTAATGTCTCTGGGATTCCTGGGAGACTGCCTRTTCTTCCTCCTTCACATCTGTTTCATCAGATTGATCGGGCAGATTAGAGGGCGGGATTCTAAATGGAGCCCCAACGCAGCTTTAAAACATCCATTCTTTGCCATGCTCTTCAAAATCCTATTTCCCCAGTGCTCCACAACAGCCAGCAGTCAGTTCAGTGAAGGGTTTTGCCTCTGGCTTGGGAAACTGTTTGGAGAATGAAGTCATTGAATTCGATGAACAACTTCTCATCAAACAGAACATCACCAAAACTGTAACACACCCACCCATGAGCCCCAGAGGAGTTCTGTTCTCCCCAGGACTGAGATTTCGGCTCCATCTTGACTTGTTCTTTCTTGGAACAGGTTGGGAGGTTTCACTGATCAGTGCCACATAGGAGCTGACCCACTCACACCTTTCCTGGAGGATGGCTGAGTAAAGWCAGGGAATTTGGGAGCGAGCTCAGTCCTGCAGTCTGCAGGGTGAGGGTGTTGGGCCCTTTGCAGTGTTTCTGCTGACAGCAATAGCCTTCAAAGCAGCTGGGCCTTGAGGGAGGAGCTGGGGCTGAGTTCTTGCAGGGGAGAAATGGTTGGAGCCTTTGGATGTCTCGTGGCCTTTCCAAAATCTTCACTGCAGAGAATTTCACATGTGGATCTGAACCTACCACAGGCATAACACGGAGGGTGCAGGGAGAGGTGCCCTGTAATCACCAGCCTCTGGCACTTGGGGAGTGGGTGGGAACAAGCCACCTTAGGTCACTTTATGTTTAAAAAGAATTATAAAAAGTCTCTCCGGGAAAAAAAAAARAAACACCCACATGGAAAAATCTCCTGAAAAAGAGCCTGTTTGTGTTTTACTTTTTGAGATTTTATGCCAAACTCTTTTCATTTCGCCCAAACCACAGTAAGTCCAATCTGTAAAACAACATTCCCAAAATGGCAACAAMTGAGAGCTGCAACCTCTCCCCTACTTGGAAATGTCCCATGGAGACGCTCCAGCAGGGTGGAGATGGGAGCGAGAAGATGGATTTGGGAGAGGATTGGCTAATTTTGTGAACGTGTGCAGGAGGTAGAGCTTCGTGCTTCTCTCTCTCTGCAACCACAGAGAAATACAAATGAGCAAGGCTGCAATTCCTCTGCACACAGAGCTGGGTGGAGCCCGTTCCCAGAGCTCTGCACTGAGCCTTGCTGAGAGYTGAAGCATTTGGATCGGGACAAAAAGGATGAGGAGAGGTGCAATTTTTTCATGCCTTTTCTTCCAGATGAGTGACAGGTCTRCTGGCAGCAGCTTTGGGGACCTTTCAGTAACCACTTTGTGTCTCCCTGAACCTTTRTACAAGCACAAACTCCTTAATTTACTGCTGAATCTTACTTTTCTTCCCTGCTGAAGATGCTCCCCGCTCCTGCTGAAACGTTTCCATATGAGCTGTATCTCTCACTCCTGTTTCTAGTGACAGGAATGGTTATTATTAGTTCCYKCTTGGAGCAGCTCAGTGCTTTGAAGGTGCCTCCATGACAGAGCAGCAYGCCCAGAACAGACACTGGGCCTTCAGAGAGTTTGCCAAATTTCACAACCACTCACTGCTTTATCTCTCCAGGCTTGTTCTAAAAGGTTCCCACCCTGCTAACTGTACCAAGTGCTGAATCATTTCTTTGGGTGGCCAGATTCCACTTGTGAGGGAAGAAACCTCTGGCAGAAGAGCAGTGTAGATATTAATGGAGATACTTAAATTACAAGGCAACATTTARCAATCTTTGTCAGAGCTGTAAGATGTGAGAAGGTGGCCAAGTCASTGTTCCAAGGCCTTTGTTTGGTAGCACATGGCATTACTTTGGCTCTGGAGCAGAGGAGAATCTGTTTAAGGCAAATGTTTTCTGCTTGCTGTTTGAGTTCTGTCATGACCTGCATTTCTGGCTTGACTTTTGCTTTGTATTGCATTGGGTATTCATCACTCTGTGCTTCCTATTTTGTCTAGGCCCGTGTAGCTAATCCTTTTCCTTGAACTTAACCAATAGCCAGAGATAATCCTAGTTTGAAAGTGACTGGAGAAACACAGCAGTTTACATATAATGCATGTTTTATCCTGGTTGATTTACACATGAACTGGCACATTGTCCTTTGTTAGATACACCACTATAAGGTGATAACAATCTCTTTAAATATTACACAGGGTTAAATAACTTTTTTTTAAAAAATTGTTATTTCCTTTCTCCTTTTGGCAAATGTTCCATTGTTTGGATTTCTTTTTCTCCTGGAAGAGCGGGACTGGGTGTGGGACAGCCCTGAGTGCCATCTGCTGGAGATCTGCTGCTTCCCAGCTCTGCCGTGGGCCAAATCCAGGCGATGTAGATGGGACTGTCGGCACAAGTTGGGTTGGTTTAGGATGCAGAAAAATCAGGCTTTGAATAACTCCACTCTCTTCTTTCACAGGTACCTGCATTCAGAGGGGAAGTTACCTGAAGGTAGGTGTACATCACATCCTTTACATCAGTGTTGTGTCCAGKGTTCCAGCTGCCCCACTCAGCCCTGCACTGAAATCTGCAGTGGCACAACAAATCGTTGGCAGTGGCTTCTTTCATCTGTAAATGAGCAAGAATCTCTGAGAAATTCTCTGTRYRAATAGGAAAGGAAAGAAACAAAGTACAGGAGCAGGTTGCTCCTGACCCCCTTTTCTAGGGTAGAGCTGCAGCCCTTATCTGCAGCAAACAGTGCCTGCCCAGGGACAAATGTGTGGACGTTGTTTAAGCACCAAGCTGTCACTCAGCTGCTTGGACAGAGCATGGGAAGGTGGCTTAGCCAGGCCCACCCAGTCAACCTCCTGCTCCCTCAGCAGCCATCCAGGCTGTGTTCCTTTAATGCTAATTCCCAAATCATTGTAGGATTTGAATGAGTCACAGCAAATCAGTTTTAATTCTCTGCTAGCAGGAAGTTGCAGACCTAATGAGAGAACATGAGCCAAGATGGCAGAATGCCCTTAAGCTGAGTTCTGACTCTAGTCCCTTCAGTTCCCCAGTTTATGAAAGAAGAGTATTAGTGCCAGTTTCTTTCCTAGGACCTTTTCTTTGTTCAGCCTTGCGATGCAGCACAAAGGACAAGGACCTGCAGTGGTTGATGTCACTGCTGGCTGTCAGGCCCCATCTACACTGAGCCACTTTCATGTGCTGCTCATGCAGGTTTGTGAGATTCACTCTGGTCCTGAATATGGGCCATGCCTCAAATCSGTTCAGGTTTAAACAGACCCACGTATAGAGAACATTTCCATTTCTCCAGCAGCATCAAGAGACTGCTGGAGCTCTGTGCAAGCCTTGCTGCTCTGATTACATCACATCTGACATGACCTACAAACACCAAAGGAACGGGGAGCTCCCATGCTGCTGCTTACGCTAAGCCTTTCCAAATATAGTTCCAGTCTCATTGAAATTCCCAGTATTTATAATTTGATCTGGCAGGCGTGCAGGGCTGTGCATCAGAGGGGCTTAATGAAACAAGAATGATGCTGGGATTGAGGCTGTCTGGATGCARCTGAAAGGCTTGTTCAGGCCATGGAAAAGTGCTGCGCTGCTGTTGGTGAGGGGGAAGTGTTCGTGGGTGAGCCTGTGTAAGCCCATGTGATCAGGGAATCCACAGAAAATCTCCCTGCAAATGCAAAAGCCAGCTAAGCCTTGCAGTGCCTCAGTGATATGCAAATGAGCACCCTAAATATCCTGCTTTGCTTTCTAATGCCTTTAGCCAGCATAAACACAACCGGCTTCTTAGAATCTGTAATCAAGTTCTCCAGCCCAGGCACAAGCATTTGTTTCAAGAAGCCAAGATAGCTGCTGGGTGTACTTCCAGCCCTGCCACCAGCCCCTTCCAGCTCTTCCAAAAGAACTTCTTTCCATCAGGAGCAGGGCAGGCCTGCAGCRTGCACAGTGCTCACCCAGGAGCTCCTTGGTCAAGGCATCCTTGCTGCCTGAGTGATTTGGAAGCAGAAAGCCAAGCTGAGCAGGCTGCAGGCTTCACACACATCTATTCTCAGCCTAATCCATGAGCTATATTGATCCTGCCCTTTCTGCCAACCTGGAGAGGTTGCATTACACTKYTTAATCCCATCCTGCCCTGGTCACAGGCACTACAGGCTCTGAAAGGCTTCACCTGCTGGTGTCACAGGAGCAGATCCTCAATGGCAGCGCTGCTCTCACCCTGCTTGGCAGGGAGCAGCCTGTTTCTCTGAACCCTTTTCCATCTCTCCCTGGACTGTACATTCCTTCCCTGCTTCATTTCATCTCACGTTCCCGTGCAGAGCAGGCTTTGCTGTCAGCACATGGAAATCCTGGTCGGATCACTGACACAGAAGGCTCTTAGAGTGCCCTTCTTTTTTGGGGAGCTGAATGCCACCACTTTGCCTGATGTGACCGAGGAGGGCCCAGCAGGTCAGACCCATTTACACTGAAATCACTTGCCATCGTTTTGAGTCCCTATTGCTGAGATTTGGTGAACAAAAGGGGTGCAATTTTTGCATGAATTAATATTTCTCAGGGAAAGAAATTGAGGAAAGGGAGAGCACATTTGGTTAACAGAGCAGACCAGGCTTCAGACAGTTGAGCTGGATAACCCCATGCCAGGYCTCTCTTCCCATCATTGTGAGTAGAGATTGATGTGGCTTTTCCAGAGTCCATTAAAATCATCCAGGAAAGGAAAGATCCATTGTCCTGCGTTTGGAAAGCAAACAGGTGGCCAGTGGGAATGCTGGCGACACAAGCAGCACTGTGYTAATTCTTTCTCTGAAATTACCCCAGCAGCAACTGCCCAGAGGATCTCTGCAGAGAAAGGGGAAAAGTGGTTCCCTTACTCAGRGCACATCACAATTTCCTTCCGAGTYTGCTCTTTGGAAACAAGAAATGTCTTGTTGGGAGTAAAAGATGTCTCCGGGTGCTTCTGTGAGCGACTGCAGCGCTTGTCCCTGCAGAGCATCCTGTGGGATAACAGCTGGAAGCGATGGCAGCCAAAGAGCTCTGCCTGTGCCTTGTCCCGCTGGGCTGTGAGCGGGACAGGGGCTCAGGTTCGTGCTCAGGAAATGTCCCGGGCCATGCCGGTCCCACAGCCCCGCATTCCCGCACGTCCCGGGGCTCTGCCGGGCGCTTGGCATTGCCCRGCTGCTGCTCCGGGACCTTGCGGGGCTGGGGCTGGGGCTGCGGCAGGGCGGAGGTGGGGACAGGGCAGTGTCACAGCAGGGACAGGAGGTGCTGAGGGCAGCGGGGACAGGAGGGCTCCGCTGTCCCGCTCTCCCCGTCCCCTCCGCGGCCGGYGGACGCCGCCACCTCCCGGCGGCTCCCGAGCAGCGCCCGCCGCTTCCAGCGGGGATTCTCCGCCGCTTCCCGGCACTCACCAGTGTCTGTGCGGGTGGAAGTGCCGGGTTTTGCCTTTGAGAGYTCGACCCCTGCCCACTGCTGCCCACACACTCCGTCCGACCTGCTGGGGAGTCGTGTCCCGATGTCCCGTGTCCCTTTCAATGGAAGGGGAGCGTGGCCCTGGAGCTCTCTGTGATACTGAAATAAGGAGTTACCAGTTTTGCTTTGGAGAGTGGGAGAGGCTGTTGAAAWGTTGGAACAACACCCTTGGAGAAAAGAAAAGAAAGAAAGGAATTGAAAGATCCTGGGGAYGTGCTGGAGGGGGTCCATGAGAGCTTTGTTCTGTCTCTTCTGTGTAATTTCACTGTTTCAGGGCTCACTGAGGGAAATCTCATTGCAAATTGAATTGCATCTCTGATGTAATTCCACCTGTGTAAACTGTGACTTTGGCCTCTTCTGTCGAACTTTAATACAATGTGGGAAGTGTGGAACGTAATCACAGCAGCTTCCAAGCCCAGGAAATCCCAAAGCAKCTCCCTTGAGAGCTGCAGGCTCTTAATGGGACCATCAGTAGCTCTGAACTCATCAGTGAAGACAATTTAACCATGGTAAAAAATAAAATAACAATTAACTTTTGAGTTCAAGGGGATCTTTCAAACAGGAAAAAAATCCTTCAACATCAGCAGAATCTTTAAACATGTTGCTTTCATCTGCTTCATCACAAACATCCGAACAATTAATTCAGGAACTCTGTTAAAGTGCAACTGCCTGCCTGAGTTAATRTTTGATTCCCGAGGCTGGTAAATATTTATTTTGTAGCTAAGAATTGGAGTAGAAAGATGAAATTTCATTTTGGTAACTGAACCAGAAACTACTGTTTTAAAATTGCAATATATTATATAGTGCCAGCATTCAGAGAATCATCTGCATGTTTTTTTTAGCCTAATTATGCAGGAAGAATTTAAATTATAAGCAAAACCACCCAGTTTTGGGGGTATTCAAAGCTAGCTTTGCTTTCCACAGGCTATGAATAGAAAAAGAAGCAGTACAAAGGGTCATATACAGAATAAGAGCCAACAAATGCTCACACATTGCACTGGGCACAAAGAAATCCTGGTGGAAGCATCAGAAGGTGCTCCCCTTTTACACAAAAAAGACTCCCAAAGCCAGCAGTGCAGGGAAACTGCAAAGACCTGCTGAGCCTGGAGAAGGGGGCACCCTACAAGAATGCTGTTGTTTTGAAATATTTATCCTCTTTCTCTGTGCAGGGTGCCGTGTGCTGGTGCTTGAATCAGTAAATCTCTTCAGGAAATACATTTCCTTCCTGGATGTCCTCATTTCCTGCCTCCTGCCCAGGGATGAACTCTTCATCCTCACYGAGGAGGAGACTGAACAAGCCAAGGTGAGATGTGTGGCACCTGCTTGACCTGTTTGAGTGGCTCATCATCATTGTGAGCACTTTAGTCAGAAATGTCACATTCCCGGGGAATGCCAGAAGTAGTTGTATCCGTGRGGTTATAAATGTCACTGAGGAATGTCTTCAGTGGTTTGTAAAACATGAATGGACAGGCCAGGTTACCTCATGTGCTGCGTGACAGGACAGGGCTGARCACATGTGCAGCTCAGAGATCTCCAGGAGTCACAGGGCACTGAGTTTCACTGTGTCTCCAGGATGTAGGATGCATTTCCAAGGATCCATTTCAAAGGAAACTGGATCCAGCATATTCTGAACATGTGAGAGGCCTGTCAAACACTGGCATGATGAGCATCCTTGGATCACAGCTCTAACTAAAGATGGAGACAGCCTGTGAACTTGTAATCCAAAGCTCTTCACAAGTTCCCCTTACTGTACATTTTTAAACTGTTTTGCTGTATGATATAATTTAGTCCACAGTTCCYTGTATCTGAATCTGATTAGCTCCCTTTCCATAGCATGAAAATATTTACCCAGCACACAGTGCTCTTAATTCACAAATTATAGACCTTTCCTGCTTCTGAGGCTGCTAAAAGATAGAGTTACTTATGGAAACTCCTTGGATAAAGATGGTCTTCATTATTCCCATGTATTGTTGTTCCTGAAGTTTGACCTTTCTAGTCTGGTGCCTATAAAYAGGCTCAGTTGCAGCTGGCAGGGTGGCCAGAAGGAGCACGCAGAGATGTTCCCAGAGACATCTATCAGGCTCCTGCTTCCCCAGCAGGTGAACACTCAGGCCTGAGAGCACGTGGGGAGGAGGAGTTAGAAGTGACACACAAACTGTCCTTTCTAGCAGGACCCTCTGAACATCAGGCAGYGCCAGACTCAGGGGCAGACAGACCTCTCCTGCCCTCCAGGCCCGGAGCTTGGGCACCCTTCCACCTCCCACTGCTCCTCCCTGCTCACTGATGRGCACTGACCCTCACAGGAGGAGTAGGAAGTGCCCTCAATCAGCTCTGGAAGGTTCCTGTAATGCTCTCTCCCCTGTTTTGTCTCCTAGAGAGCCATGCGGTGCCACCGCAGCCAACTGCTCTGGTTCCGCCAGCTCTACGTGCTCTTCTCYCGCTACCTGGTGGTCAATTCACTGCGGCTGCTCTGACAGGACAGCACTCACAGCTCCAGGATGAGCAAAACAAGACTGTGCTGGCCCAGGACTCAAGAAAACTCCTGTGTTGCGTGCTCAAGAGGACAGAGTGCTCTTTGAGTATCATTCTCCACACTACAGAACCCAGGCTGGCTGAACTTCCTGCTGTGTATATTGTTGCCTCATACAGGGTTAACAGCTGCCCTATTTTCTCACTCTAGAAGCTTAAATAAGGTGAGAAATTTGAATTAATTTTAATTGGGAGTCAAGTCCAGGAGGATTCTGCATTGGAGAAGATGTGGCACGAACTGTTTCCCCAAGAAGATACAGCTGCAAGGACTGCTTGGCAACTCTCTCAGTGCTTCTGTAAAATCCAAGTATCAGCACTTGTTCAAAGATCATGCCATCACCACAGATACCATAACCACAAGGCCTTTCTTACTCAGTCAGAATTTTAAAAAGCCAAAGCTTTTGAATAAAACATCAGAAATCATGTAATTTTTTTTCTAATTGCACTGATCTTTGCTGCTGCTGCTGCTGCTGCTGCTTTCACACACATTATGTTGCAGGCTCTGCTGTCAGAGTGCCCCTCCTGAAATATGAGCTCTTCTCCTTGATTCAGAACAGAGCTCGAGATCAACTCACAAGAGTCTCAGTAGGACACAGGAATGAGGTGCAAGAGACTCAGACTGTAATGAGGTCTTGTGATTTAMGCTTTAGCACAGCTAAAGGCAAAGTCCCAAACTAGCAACCYTGGAGTGGTTTACAGAGCAGAGGCAGTTGAAAACTGAGCATCACGAAGCAMTGARACAATCAGCATAGAAAGATTTATTTAAGAAACAGAGAACAGGTTACAGTAATGTAGAGATTRATTTCACCAACCATCACCCAGGAAACCCCAGACTGCAGTTCCATGGCAGTGCTCCAAAGGCTGCTGGGAGGCTGTGTCAGGGTTTTGACATGTCTCTGATGGTCTTATGCTCCCTCACTGCTTTCTCCCATTCCTTGCCATTGATATCCTCTGTGATAATGGTCTGCACGGTGCCATCATCCAGACAGTGGGGAGCTATTCCTGCAGAAAGAGTACATAGAAACCTGCTTTCATAAAATGTGGGAGATTCCTGCACCACTCAAAAATGGGGCATCTCGGGGAACACTAAATGCTGTAAAGCTGAGGAACTTGGATGAAAACCCTGTCACAGGCAGAAGCTCACACATTATAGGTAAGACAATTTCTTATGCAGGAGCTACAGGTTCAGACTGCAGTTCCACATGTTTATCACTTTAAAAACAAACATGCTGCTCACTGCTGTCATGGCAGCATCCAATGGAGTCTTTATCCACAGTTTGCTGGGTGGTTAACTCTGTTTAGCACAGCTTACTTTGTACCTACCATAACCATCAGGGTTYGAACGAGGAGTATAAAAGCTCTGAACACCACAGGTCTTGCAGAACGTGTGCTGGGCACGGTGTGTGTTGAAGGTGTACGTTGTCAAATTGTCAGCCCCCTGAGGAAAGGAAAAACAGTCTAAGTTTTCCATAGAAATAGATGGATTCATTACTTTGTGCCTGTAGCTAGGAAATGAACAATTTAAAATGCCACTTTTGTGTCTTTACTTGAGATAGATCCAGGTTTGTGCATTCATGCTCCTTTCCTGAAGCCCTGTGCTTTGTAAGTACATGTGCCCATAACAGTCAGCCCTGAGAGCTGCAAGAGCTCTAAATAAGATACACCAAGACACCCACACCAGACAGCTTAAAATCCAGCCATTGCCCCCAGCCAAACTTAGGATAGAAAACTGATTGTTCTTGTCTCTGTGAGGATAACACTGCTCGTGCTCATGGCCATGCTCTTACTCTACCTTCAGCAGCTTGAAACGCGACGCTGGCACAATGAAGTGTCTGTTCTGTTTCTTTGTGCAAATGCTGCAACTGTAAAAGAAAAAGCAGACCTTTCTAGAAGTGGACAGGTTGTAGTGCAGCAATCGGACCTCTTGGCAACAGAAATTCCACTGACAGCTCGAATGGCTCAGAGGTAAGCRGCAAAAGTGGATTTGTGGTGTTAATGTTTGGCTGAGCACAGCCGTRGAACAGGCTGACCCTACACAGATACCCCAATAAGATATTCTCACACACAACTCTTAAGGACAAACTCTAGCGCTGAGAAATCCATCAGAGCATGCTTGGCCAGTTTTGCCAACATTCATTACCTTGCAAACAAGAAAGTRAGGTTCAGAAGTTCACCCATGAGCTAGAAGCAAACAAGTTGCAGGCAAAGAGGGATCACTACTAAAATCAGGGAGTGTTTTAGTTTGAGGCACATGTGGTCAGAGCTGTAATGTCACTTGAGAAGAACAAGTTAAAAAAAGGCACCAGTGTGCTTTGAGCCCACTGCATGAGAGGAAATAGAAAGCAGATGGCTGAGCACCTGGACTCATTAGATCTCTCTTGACACTTTCTGWGTCTGAGCCTGGCTGTGAGACATGGAAGTCCTGCCCAAAGCAGCACCTGAAATCACCAACACTGATCTCATATTGGATCAGGACATAATTAGGGGTAAACCCTGTGGAAACAGCTCAGAGGGTGTTCTGCAGCTGTGTCATCCTTTAGCTCTAAGGTTGGAAAAGCAGGTGAGCTGATATCCATCTCTGGGAACAGGTAACAAACCAACTCACTTGCAGTTAAAGACGTGCAGATCTGCTGAAGCCCAGACCTCAAAGCGGACGGCTCCACAGTGACAGCCTCCTGTGTGCTTCACCAAACCCCTGTATTCACTGGAGAGAGACAACAGAGCTTTTGGGATCATCCTCTCTTTGCTTTGACCAAGAGAACAGTAAGGCTATATACAACATTATTCAGTTCTGTCTTGAGCTGTTGCAGAACACCAAGAAATGTATTCACTCAAATGTATTTAATAACATGTGTCAGAGTGAGGTAGAGGATGGCTTTTGTCCTCTGCAGCAATTGCTTTTGTGGTTTAATCAGAATGGTGAAAAGGAAGGTAGAGCACCAGTTTGAGGAACACTCCACTCTGTACCACTGTCCAGGTCACGGTGCTGACCCTACACCTGTGTCCATACACAACCCTACAGAAACCAGGGCTATCACCTCAAGACAACCTGCTTGGAACTGAGAACTGAATTTCCCCACAATTTTCCCCGTAGTTCTTCCAACACCACTAATACTTCTCCATTTTAAAGCTGAGCAAAAGCAGAGATAAGCAGATTCTACATAAAATTTGAAATGTCRTTTATTTCGGGGCTGTAATGTGGAGGAACTTTATGATCAAGGAATTTCTGAGCCTGTGTTTCTCCCTCTCCCTGAGCCGCCTCCACAGCAGCTGGGCAGTCACCGCGCGGGTCAATCGCAAAATGCAAAAGAAAAACATTTTCCTTCCAGATTTTGCCTCCCACGGACAGTTTCTGATGTGCCGTGCTCTGCACAGAGCGAGCATGGGAAATGGGTGGAGATTTAGAAGCTGAGCCTCGCGGAGCCCCCGGGGGCATTTTTTTGATGGGAGAGCCGTAAAACACGGGAACCTTTAGCACAGAAAGCCACTGTTTCCGTGGTGCGTGCGCCCCCTCCCCATCCCACCCCCGGTCCCCGTTCCCGGCAGCTCCCGGACCCGCTGTGCGGATGCCTCCCGGAGAACGATGCTATTAACGGGACTGGAGCAGGAGCGCGTTCGAGCCGCCCCGGCCCCGTTACTCACTACGCGTCCAGCAGCAGCCGCGCCGCCTCCTCGCAGCTCAGCCGGTGCCGCTCCTGGAAGGCGGCCCAGCGCCCGCTCTGCGCCCCCAGATCGATGGCGCCGGGCCCGCGGGGCTCCGCCTTGGCCCCGGCCGGGGTTCCCCCCGCATTCCTGGCCCGGGCCCGGCGCGTCCCGGCCGCGGTCG